CGCAATCGGCTATTGGTATCCGGATCCTGCCATAACATCCCTCTCGGAAACCTCCCCATTCAACGCTTGAGTCGCGCTGGTGTGCCATCTCAGAGCTAGTGGCTATACAGACAAGTCTAATCAACAGCGGAGTCTAATCAACGCGCCGAGAGCAAGTCCATCTATGACCAGAGGAGAGGGCCACTGTCACGACGAAGCAAAGTGCCCAACAGAGGCCTCGGGGCCCCTAACCACTCTCCTCACTGCCACCACCTTGAAGTATCTTGGAAATCCCTGGGATCTAGACAACCTTGACACGGGGGTTCGCGCGCCCCTTCTGGACTTTTATGTGTGTGTTTGAGGTCCGCCGTTCTGCTGCACAGAAAAAGAAGGCCAATGAAACCCCACACCCAATCCTCCCAAAGCTTGTGCTGGAGGGATCCAACTAGTGAGTTAGCGAGCGAACCCGGCCACAAACAGTTTAGCATCGCCTACTCACTGCCCACCATGAGACTCGGGCACCGGGTGGACGTGTCCGCCTTCACCCCCAGCGCAGATGTTGCGACCGTCTGCTCTCGCTCGCATGGCGAGGGGGGCGGAGGCACGGGAAATTCAGAGCTTCGCTGCGAGGGAGGGCAGGCGCACCTGGAAGTAGTCGCGGATGTAGCTCATGTTCTCGGCGCCGACGGCGAGCGGCGACGCCACGAGGTCGGCCTTAGTGTGGATGGAGGCCGGCGGCGGCAGCAGCAGCGACGTCACCACGCCCGCCGCATAGCAGCTGTCCATCACCAGCGCCATGGCGGCGGCGAAAGTACAGTACGCAGACAGCACAGCGTCGAGCTTCCGCCGCGCCTGCGCATGCGCACAGTCCATCAGACGGAGACACGCAGCAAACATGGAAGATCCGCACCGACTTTTGACCAGGGCCAAGTAACTCGCCATCAAAACCAGGGCAAAATTGGAAGGTGCAACGATAGGAGGCGTACTGTCGCTGGGTGAAGCTACACGTTAGGCGCGCCAACTTTCGCGCCAAATTAGCCAAAAATTTGGCTAATTTGTAAGAAATACGAAAAGTGTCTTGTAAATGATCCATTATTCATATACGAAACCTCTGAAGAAAGCGCGAACATGAACTATATCTTTTGTAACATTACGCGCATACTTGCGTTTCGCAAACCCAAGAAGCAGTCACGCACGTTTTAACTACCGTAGGCAGCAGTTCGTATTTTAGGTCCCACCACGATATGGGAGTTGAAAGGCCCTACTTTAGACGCCGGCTTTCGCCGCCCAGCCGAGCGCCCAACTGCGAGTGGCTTCACGTTTGCAATGGTATGATAATGTGTTTTGGCGATTCGGAAATAAATGCGCTTCATCCTGACACTTTCTGGAAACTACCTCATAATATGTTTATCCTATAAAATTATCTGAAAAACGCCTTCAACAGGGGACTTTCATTATACGCTATAAACATCTGAAAACATGTATACTGCACGACAGCCAAAGCAGCGTATTCTCTCACCAGTCACTCAGCTCACATCTTCGACAACGGCTGCTCCAACTTGTACAGAGCAAGTACCAATTCAAACGTAATATCGTTTTGCGTGTTTCACTTCATCACTGGTCTCTCTGTGGTATCGAAACCGATACCTAGCAGATCGCCAGTCTCTACCCCAACTGATTGCTGGGTTGCAAATTGAACTCGCGCACGCGACCGCACTGTCCCACACGCGATCGCCCCGCCAGGCAGCATCTGGGCGCGGCTACAGTAAGGGCATTAGTTATGGGAGTGCATTTGTTTTATCGCGGGAAGAGGCGGTGAAATGGACGGCGAAATCCGGCGCCGACCCACACGTCGGATTGCGGGGATTTTCCTCTACTAGTTATCTCAGCCGTAACAACTCAGCAGAAACAAGTTTTAAGTCCCGACTGATCTCTCGGTATGTGAGGTGGTGGGGCGTCGGTAGGATAAGGAAGAGGAAGGAAAGATCTCGCGCGATCCCTGGTCTGTTACGGTCCTGCTCCGGCATTCGGTTGATGTTGGGAGAAACCACGGAAAATCATTCGATCAAAACAGTCGGCCACTACAGAATTCTCCCGGTCAAGAGGCACTGCAGTGACATCAATTGATGGCCCCCGAGCCACTTAAGCCGGTGGGCAGCATCGAGGATGATGAGGGGCTGAAAGGATTTTGGAAATTCTTCAGTACATTACTATTGGTTTTTGAAAGATCGTTGATTTTCAATGCTCACAGTTCGAACTCTTCTGACAATCTAATATGAAATGGTGGAATCGACTGTTGAAAGAAAAGCGTTGTATTTTGTAGATTCACAGGGGGCGCTGATTGAGACCGCACAAATACGGGGGGGGGGGAGAGGAGGGCTAGAGGCAAGTGCTATCTTGTCTTCCTCGTCCTCGTCCTATCCTTACCTCTTGCTTACACAATCAGCTGCACTACACCATCACACATGCCGGGAGACCGGTCGGGAGCTTGGAGCTTGCCCTGCTGCGGGAGATTACTGATTCGGGGGAAACCTGCAAGTCGTCAGGCAGCTCGGCGCCGGATCTCACCATCCAGTGGGAGATGACCGCCACTTCCAGGGTTAGAAGTATGTACTACAGTTACGAGAGCCTTAATGGTCTTCGCAGTTGACGCGCCCGGAACCACAGGAGTCCAAATGAGAACGGCGAGCCGGGCTGGGCCGGGCAGGGCTGACCTGGAGGCAGACGACGCCGAGCAGGTCGAGGGCAGCGGTGCTCCAGGAGGCGTCGACGGGGCGTGGGCGTGGGCGTGGCGGGGGGCGCTCGCAGGCGCGCTGCAGGCGCAGGGCGAGGGTGAGCGCGGCGGCGGCGGCGCCCCCGGCCGCCCGCGCCGCGCTGAAGGGCAGCAGCAGCGCCCCGGCGCCCGCGCCGCCCCGCCGCCCCGGCTGCCGGAACAGCAGCCCGCGCGGAACGTCCACGACGGGCCCGTGTAGTCCACGGCCGTCAGAGCAGCGCCTGCACGACGGGCGCCGCCCTCAACCTCAGCCTCCCGACGAACAGGCGGATTGACGCGGAGCTGCGTGTCAAGTAAATCGGCTGTTGGCGGTTTCTCCCAATAAGAAGCTTCACGTCACTCAAGCGACACAAATCAGAGAGATTCATCCGATTGAGAGCTTGAACCTCACCATAGAGACGTCACTGTAATGACATACGTACATTGTGTGATCAAAAGTATACGGACGCCTCTAAAAGGGTGATATGGTGTGGTCGTGTTTTCCATGGATGGCAATTACACCCCATGTTTTGTGTGTTACTATCACGGCACAGGCCTACGTTGATGTTCTAAACACCTTCTTGCTTCACACGGTTGAAGAGCAATTCGGGAATAGCGATTGCATCTTTTAACACGATCGAGCACCTATTTATACTGCACGGCATGTGACACGACAATAACATCCCTGTAATGGACTGGCCTGCACAGAGTTCTGACTTAAATCCTATCGAACACCTTTGGAATGTTTTGGAAAGCCGATTTCTGGCCACGCCTCACCGACCTACATCGATACCTGTCCTCAGTGGAGCACTCTGTCAAGAATGGGCTACCATTCCCCAAGACACCTTCCAGCACCTGATTGAAAGTCTACCTGCGAGAATGGAAGCTGTTATCAAAGATAAGGGTGGGCCAACACCCTCTTGAATTCCAGCATTACAGATGGAGGGCGCCACGAACTGGTACTTCATTTTCAGCCACCTTTCCAGATACTACATATCATCATATAGTGTAAATCATTTAGCTCTTGAAGTTTTCATGCGAATGGGTGCTTGAACGTCATGTAGTTCATACCATAGTGACGTCATTGTTGTGACAAGCTCCCGATTGGATAAAACCAACAGCTGATTTACTTCAAACGCAGCTCTGAATAAATCCAAGTATATTTACGCACACTCATTTACGAGGGGCATCCAGGAAGTACGTTTTCCTATCTTTTGCTTTGAGAGATTGCTTTGACGCGCATTTAGGCTGGGAAATGCAAACAGATCTTTGTCTTATCAATCATGTGACGGCGGACAGGTCCCGCCGAGTGCTCGTAGCGTGACAGCGATGGCTCGAAGGGGCGGCGCTTGGCGGCAGTGCCCGAAATCGGTCGCCGTCTGCAAGGTTCGCTCCGTGGTAAAGTAATGCACAATCCATCTCTCTGTTCCGAATGCTTCGACAGCTCTTATTGGCATGCTGACTGCAAGTGTTAGCACTCTCTTATTGGCATGCTTTCTGTTCTGGTCCATGATGATGCTCGTCCACATAACGCGCGGCAAACAGCACCTCTGCAACAGTTCGCTGGGAGCTATTTGATCATCCCACAAACAGTCCTGATCTCGCACCCAGCGATTTTCATCTTTTCCTTCGTCTGAAGACATTCCTGTCCTCCTGTCAGCGTTTTCACAACCAAGAAGATCTGAAGACGTCTGTGTCACGTTGAATTCAGTCGGAGGCGGCTCACTTTTACGACACAGGTATACAAAATTTGATATGACAAGTGTCTAAATTCGTGTGGTGATTATGTCGAACAACTGTTCAAACATTGCTGTATCTGATTCCAATAAAGGTTTGTATGTAACTACGTGTTCTTTTATTTCACAAAATAGGGCAACGTACTTTCTGGATGAACTACATAGTATAGATACATTAGCCAAACCCGGAACCAGATTGATAGGTGGGAAAACAAAAGGAAGTCATGAGGGACGATGCCATTGCAAGAGGTGTCGCAAGCATTTACCAGTGAGCCAACGGCAAACGAGCGCATTAACTAATTCAGCACATGAGCATAACCTGCAAGTATGTTACCAGCAGTCGCCAAGCAGTGGCCGTCAAAGAAGTCCCTTCTTATAATAATCTCTCCAAACGCAAGTGAGTGCTTGGCGGCATTTTGAAAGAAGTATGCCAAAGGCTTGTTCTTGCTACCAGTCACATCAATTCTTTTTACCTACTACGTGCTAGCGTAGTAAAGAGAATGCATTGGTATTGCTGCAGCAAATCTCAGCCATTATTCGTGAGTGTTTATGTGGCCTGCCAAACAACGGCCGTCACGACGCTCGTGTGCCGCTAGCCCTAGCCCTGGGTTCGAGCGGGAGTTGCGGGACGCACCAGGATGCGATTGCAGGAGACGCTGAGGTGGACCTCCTTGCGCTGCAGCAGCCCCACGGCGCCGTCCCACGCGCCGCCCGCCGCCGGGTACCCCCACGTGGGGGTCGCCACCAGGCGCAAGCTGCGGAACGTGCGCCGAACTTAGAAAATGAACCTATACAATTGACTATAAAAACCAAGACATCTTGGCTGTCCGGGTGACGCCGCGTTCACGCTACGTTGCCGTCGTTTCAACCATCTTTTCGTAGCCTTCCTCAGAGCCCGTCTGCCGAGGTGTTTATAAGTATTTAAAGAGAAAATAACTACTATAGACGAAAAACCGACAAATTAAGGAATTTTCAAAAAAATGTACTTTGGGCGGCGATAGATAGGTGGCAAGAGTATATGTCAAGTCAGAATAGATTGCCGAGATCAAAGGAAATAGAAAACTAATACGAGAAAATCTATGTCGTTTGTAGCAACACTAGTATACTTTTTTTGATTGATTTGATAGGTTTCTTTAATATTTGATAGGAACTGAATGCGATTTTTCCTTCCTCTTCCTTGTCTCATCCTCTCCCCTTACTTAAGCACACTTACACTAACATGCACTACACAACTCTAGACATCGGGAGACCGGTCGGGAGCTTAGATCATGTCCCGGCTGGGGCGGTGCCCTGCCGGTGGGAGATACCTGTTAACCCCGCTATCCGACGTCGGTCGCCCCAGACTTCGTCAAAACGCGGCGGATGGCCACCGCCACCTCCCGAGCCAGGTCGTGCACTAATCGCGTCGCAGTTGACGCGCTCGGAATCGCTGATCCCTGGATGAAGCACTCACGTGAAGTTGAGCGGCCGCTGCAGCGCGCGGAAGAGCTCCGAGTTGTGCTTGGAGATGGAGTCCGCCTGGCGGTCGCGCCCGTCCGCCACGCGCGCCGCCAGCGCCTCCAGCGGCGTGTGCTCCAACTGCGCCGACAGCCCATTCGGCACATGCTTCGGCACTCCGCGCTTTTCATAGCTATTCCTTACAATTACCTGACAATACGAGACTGGGGAATGATCAAACGATGATATAAAAATATACACATCTATAGGGATAGGTAACATTCGTAGTGATGTTGATACATTTCGCGCCATGAAAATGCAAACTTCAAGGCTTGATTATTTATTTATTTATTTAAAATACACACCTATTAATGTCTGGATCAAAAATTGCATTGGTAGTATCATGCCTGAAGCTCCTTGTTCGCTGCTGATAAATATGGAGGCAAATTCTTGAAACTTTTATGAGGTCTTGCGTTAGTACCTCTGAACCACTATCAACAAATGTACTATTCTTCCAAAATAGTTTTGAAATGTATTTGAATTTCGGCATAGACGTTTTTACATTAGTACAGCCCCAGTAAATTTAACAGTTTAATATTATAACTAATGCTTTGATGAAAAGATGATGAACTGTTTAACACAATAGACAAAACATGGTCTACAGCAATAATTATTAAGTTATAGATATTGTGTTGAAAGTCCTTAGAGCATATAGTACGCCGGGCAGGAAGAAATACAGAAGAATCGCGATAATCCGAGGTAATTGGGGCTGATGGTACTTCGGAGTACAAAAACCTCTGAATAGATGAAACAAAAAGAAAATATGGAACGGAATTTTCAACTGCAATGTCTAATGAAGTTAAATTTGACCTGCAGATACACTATTAAAATTACAAGTCCATGAGCGCCCCGATCAGAACAAGGTATCAGACAGATTGACTCTGGCACCGATGACCTCCATGCCTTCGAAGCAGTATTGCCAACCCATCAAAAGCGAGCTCTTGATTCTCGCCACTTTTTTGGTGACTTGTCGCAGGGGGGGACTCTTGTGCATCGTAGACGACTTCAGCCAATGAGCTTCAGGCACCAGTTTGCGTCACAATATTAGCGCGAATATTAAATTAAATTAATTATTTAATTAATTAAAAAGACAGAAATTAAACAGAGCTATTTTACATTTCTTTTAAATGTTGCATCTTGTACACCTTCATTGTGTTATTTTTGGTTTTTTAAGGTCGAAAATTGCCACTTTGAACCACTTTCAAAATGTTTCTCAACACTTTTCACTCTCTATACAACATGGCGGCCAGCGTCTGGTCTAGTTTTTTGAACGATGTGCCCGTGCTGTGGTAACGTGGTTCGTGACGCAAACTTGTGTTGTGCTAAACGAGAAAAATTAGGTGCGCCAGAGGAACTCACCCATATACACTATGTGATCAAAAGTATCCGGACACGTCCAAAATGGTATTATGATGTGGTCGTGTTTTTCATGGAGGGGTCTAGCAACCTTTGTTGTTTTGTGTGGCACTAGCACGGCACAGGCCTACCTTAATGCTACAAACACCTTGCTTCCCACTGATGAAGAGGAATTCGGGGATGGGATTGCATCTTTCAACACGATCGAGCACCTGCTCATACTGCACGGCCTGTGGCGGAGTGTGTATACTACAATAACATCCCTGTAATGGGCTGGCCTGCACAGAGTCCTGACTTAAATCCTATCGAATACCTTCGAGAATGTTTTGGAAAGCCGAATTCTGGCCAGGCCTCACCGACCTACATCGATACCTCTCCTCAGTGCAGCACTCCGTGAAGAAAGGACCGCCATTCCCCAAGACATCTTCCCGCACCTGATTGAAAGCATGCCTGCGAGAGTGAAAACTGTCATCAAAGATAAGGGTGGGCCAACACCCTCTTGAATTCCAGCATTACCGATGGAGGGAGCCACGAACTGGTAAGTCATTTTCAGCCGTGTCCGGATCCTTTTGATCACCATGACACGGCGCCCAACTAGGCATCTTTAGGATGGACGAGGCTCGGATTTCCGCCGACTGAAAAGAGCGCGCGAGCGGGCCACCCACCACCACGATGGCGCCGAGCAGCTCCTGGCCGGCCAAGAGGCGCGGCGGCGGGCGGGGGCGGGCGCCAGCGCAGCGCGTCGCCCGCCGCCCACTCGCCCGCGCCCGCCGCCGCCGCCCGCGCGCCCGCTCGCCGCCCGGCGCCACAGCGCCCACACGCGCGCCTCGCGCCGTCCGCCGACACCTGCCACGGGGCAACGCCAGCGTCAGAGGTGGAAGTGGAGACCACTTCGGGAGTTGACCAGAGGAAGGCGGTGTCCTGAATTACGTAACGCTAAGGGGGTTAGTCGGCGTAAAGGCTCCCACAGACCAGCGCGGAAGACCCGCAGCCTACGTGGAATGGCCGCAGTGGAAATTTCGCGTCACGCGTTGCCTTATGTACACGTTCAGACCAGCGCGGCAAGCGAGCGTTTTATTACCTGCGGATTTTGGAACGCTGCCGCTAGAGTTTGGAGGAAGTCCTCCCGCCATCGGGAGTATTTGCTCCTCTCACGTTCAAACTCCCGTCCCTTTGTTTATTGTATGAGGAAAACTGTCATCAAACGCTGAGCCATAATTGACGCTCCGGGGTGAACGGATTCCGCCGCCGCATCTAGCGCGGAGCGTTCCGCGCCGCACCCGCTGCGGATCTTCCGCGCCGGGCTGTTAGAGCCTTTACACTACCTGACATGGAGGTAGGGGGGTATTCGTTTAATGTTACGTAACACTGATATTCATTTCTTCTTTACATTTTCAACATTTGTTGAAATACTTTGTGTCTTACATTAAAACATTAACGAATTATCTTGTTTAAAACACAAATAAAGTTATTAAAAGTTGTTACATGAAATACAAATATTTTATCATTTTTATATGTAATATTACGAAGAAAATGTCGAACAGAGATCTATAGTATATTTTAGAATCAAATTAAATTGACGTAGTAGACTCTCTCCCATGCGCCAACCACGACGGCATGTGCGCGGCTTGAGATCTGAAATTTCTCCACCTACGCGTCCTTTCTTCGCTCAAAACTTGTCCCCAATTTTATTGTTAGACGCTGTCAGCATTGCCAACTACTTCCGACTTTAATAATCTCACATTTTAGTACACAACACAAATAAAATAAATACAAATTGTTTTTACAGCGCTGTAATTAATTTTCACTTATTGCATTTACAAGAGGGTGTTATTGCTAGCGTTACGTAATTATTAAGGGGGTTCAAGCGCACGTTACGGGTGCGGTTCAGGGGGAGAGAGGGTATTCAAATTACCCCAAATTTGCGTTACATAATTAATGGACGTCTCCTAAATTACGTTACATCATTACGTTTGCCGTTGTTCATCCAAGATAATGGTGATAAAATAATTAAAAATAAACAAGCATACAACACAAACAAGTAAACGAAACAAACATACTTCTAGCACTTACACGTAATTTAATCGACCAACAAATACATGTGCATTATGTTTGTTCAGTATGTTATGTTTGCTACATGTATGTTTATAGCGTTTTTTTCCTAGAGCTTATATTCAGCAGACAACTGGTTACCCTTTATGTCTCGATGGGACGCGTATTCGACAAACACTACACATCAACACACTTGTGGGCTCCTCTGATCTGGGGTCAGCATAACGCGAGGTCCGCGACCCTTCGGACCGAAGCACTGAGTCGCTACGCGCTCTTAGCCAACTCGGCCTCCAGGTCGGCTAGCTTTTAAGTTTTTTAATTTTTTTGTCACTAGTCCCGATGATGGAATAAAAGTTTCCGAAACATTGGCAAACAATGATTTAATTCACTTTGACCCTTGATTTCAACTTCCTGTAATGTTTTACTTGAAAGGTACAAAGATGATTTCCGTATTTTCTGGAATATAAGGCCCACCTTGTTTTTCAGAAATTGCGAGAAAACAAACTTGCTGGACAACTGTCATCAAAGGCGAACGGGGGACATGTGAGCAACTGAGAGGAAGTTGGGCGCCGGCAGCTGGTGGGTATGGAATGCTGAGAGTACTGTCGTCCATCAGAATTTTAAAGCTTGCGTAGGGAAAAGCTTTTTGAAGTGATTCAGCTAGTTTTAATCCTGAAATGTTGATGTATAAATTGTTAGAGACGCCGAGGAAAGTCCTGCATGTGATTACATATACGTGGTAATGTATTTGATATGATTTCGATGTACTACATACCCCCAAGGCAAGTCAATGTACTCCTTATTTTAAACATTTCATTTTGCTAATAAACGCGAAGATGTAGATGTAAAACATATCATTATGTTGGATACCAAACAATTGGCCACAGAAGCATGGGATGACAGAGCAAGTACAAGACTTTCGGGCACAAGACACATTTTTCAACAAATATCGAAGACGAAAGAAAGATTTTTAAGGAGAAACATTGACATGAATTAAGACATTTCTAGAACTTTAAGAACTAGGGGTTGGCAAACCTGTTTCCTTCGCTAGCAAGAATCACCTTTTCTTCAAGAATTTTTCCGAGCGAGTACAGGAGAGTTTAGCATTGTTACACCTAACGCCGGAAGAAGTATTAGAGAGTCGTCATTGGAACTTACTTCGCGTTGGTGCAAAGAAGTCAGATTATTGTTTTGGACTTCATTATAGATTACGTAAGACCTTTCTTTACTGAACAAAGTGGACATCGCCGTTTAAAGCGCGCACTGTAGCAAACGCCCAAGATGTGTTCGTGATGACCACATGCGCACCGACTTAAGGGTTCAGGGATTTAATTGCTATCACTGCAATGCCTCCGACCGGGAGGTGCTGAGGTTCCACTCCCGACGGCGGCAGGATTTTCGACTAGCGAGAGAGATAGGTCGAATTCAGCCGCTGCCTGGAGAAGTCTAGAGGACGGCTGCTCCGATCAACACCAGGCCATGCTCCGCGCGCGAACTCTCCATTTCTCTTCCTCATCCTATTCCAACCCTCTACTGATACACACACACACACATTACATGAACTACATTATCACACATGTCGGAAGACCAGTCGGGAGCTTAGAGCGTGTCGCGGTTGGGGTGATGCTCCGCTGGTGGGAGATACCTTGAGGAAAACCCACAAGCCGACAGTAGGTCGTCGTCGGATCTCACCACCCGA